GGGGTGATGTGGGATAGGTGTAAGATTTTCCCTCTGCTCGCTTTTCTGCCTTTGCCTGATAAATATTTCCGGGTCCCTTGGTTTTTATATGTTAATTTTCAGCTTAAAGGTTGTAAGGCATCGCAATGTGGCCCGGGAAGGGGTGGTGTGACAGTCTCCAGGCTGCTTGTGCTCGTTTTATCCGCAAATGGCTGCATTTGCAATGTGTAATGATCTCTGTAAGGCAGTTAGGAGCGAGATAAACATCAATTTTATGGCTGGGAAAACATAAGGGGTGTTGCACAAGAAAACGAGAGGACCTGAATACTGAAAACTCTCCCAGCTCCTCTGTGCTGCTGGGTTTAGCTCTGCTCTGCTCTCTCCTGTGCATCCCAACCCCTTCCCGAGGTGGGTCCTGGCAGGGGAAATGTGCAGAGCTGGCCATGRTGGGATGCAGGAGCTGCACAGCCTCTCCTTTAGGGGCTGGGGGATGCAGGTACCAGGACTTTGTATTCACAGCCAAGAGCTGAGAGGGTTGGCTGAAGTGGGAATGAAGTAAGGCAAGGATTAGGAAGTTTTGTGGGATTTGCTTTTGTAACAGGAGCCCATGCAGAAGGCCRAGGTCACGGTTCTGCTGCATCCAGACTGGGAATGTGCTTTGATTTTCACAAATAACAGCTTTTTGCAGCTCTGTTTCTTCACCAGATATGACACAGGGTATAAAATGCTTTTTTCTAATATGCTGAATGCCTCTGGAATGCAATTAATATTCTTGCCTAAGTCTCCAAAAATTAATAGGCATGTCTGTGTGTGCAGGGGGGTGGTGGGCAGGAACAGCTGAGTCCATCCAAGCTGGGAACAACCTCACATGGGGCAGGAAGGTGCAAAACCATCAGTGGGAGCTGGAAATGGCAGAGTGGCTGCAGGAGGACAGGGAGTGATGCTGTGAGGGCACATCCCCAGGATGGTGCTGATGGAGGGGGAGCATCTCCCATCTCAGCTGCTTCAGGAGCTGCCACCTCCCTCCCTCCAGGGTGTTCCAGCCTGGGAAGCTCCAAATCCATCCCCAGCTGGAGCAGGGCTCTCCCAGCTCCTTCCCTTTGAGCCTGGGAGGGGTGACCAAGCTAATCATTAATTAGCTGCCATTGATTGGAGAGGAGGGCTCTCCCCACGTGGTGCTGTGCTCAGCCTGTCTGGGAACCTGAGTCCTGGGTGGTTTTTGTTTTCTTGCTCTGCCTGGCGTGACTGTCAAATGTCTCAAGAGCTGGCAGCACATTCAGGGCTGGTGTTTCTGCTGTGTAGAATATTAAAATAAGTTTTCACATTTTGTGTAGCTCATTTGCTACTTGAATTTCTGCCCTGTGTGATATTCAAGACATCTCCACCACAAAATAGTGTTTATATATATTTTTTTCACATTTATAGGGCGCTGGAGCTCAGTGATTAACAAAGCTTCTTATCAGTTCTGCTGTAAAAAAAAATAAACCTCGTCTCAGAACCAAGCAGAAGCAACATAAATCACCTCAAAATAGCTTCAGGTGCTGAAGCCATCTGGATTTCTGCTCYTAGGTTGCAAAGGTTTCAGATGAGGTTGGGTTTGCTGTGGGGGACTGGCCTGAGAGCCTGGGGCTGCCTGTGATCAGACCCCAAGGAGCTGCACAAACACATCGAGGCCATGAAGAAAAATGTTTTCCACATAATCTTGTTACTGTAACAACAGCAGTGAAATCTTTTAAAGCAGAAAAATGTGATGTTTTAACACGATAGCGGTGTCCCTTCAGCTCTGTGACAAATGCTATCTGTAGCATGTGCTGCCTGCATTGCAATAGCCCTGCAAGCTCGATGGCAATCCTAGGGCACAGGAAGAAAAGATGACTCCTTTAAAATAGTAATTTCTTGGCTAGATGTGATGATGTTGAAAGTTTATCTTTCCTTCCCCTCTTTCTAGCCCATCTGAGCCTTTTATCTCTGTTTTTTCTCCTGTCACTTTTCATTCCCCAGCTCCTTTCCTTGGCTCTTTCTTTTCCCAATGCACTTTCCTGATTTTGCCAAAAAGTTGGTGTTCTCTGTCCATTTTAAACCACTTCTGCTCAAAGCTTTACATTGCTGGTGGAGTTTCTTACCTCTTCTTCCCCAGCAAAAACCAGAACAGAGTTTCCAGCCATCTCAAACACAAGCAACACAAATTGCTTTTATGCAAGACAAGCTCCCAAATCTTCCTCATAATCCAAACCCCATTCACCTCTTGGCTAGAAATCCAAAATTATTACCCAGAAACCAAGTGGAATTATGTTATTTATATTTATGAAATAAATTTATGTATTTTAAAAGTGTGATTCTCAAGGTGTCTAGGGATCCTTTCTCGCTTCCCCTGAGACCTCATCTGTCCATAACAGACCTTTTACTTCAAAACCTCCCAAAGTTTTGAAGGGCAGCTGTGAAATGAAGATTCATTAATTTCATTCTGCTGCAGCAGCTCAGCAGCACGAAGACAGTGCTGCCCTGGTTTGTGTTTCTCCCAGTCGGATTTCTCTATGGCTGAGTGCTAAGGATATTTTTTTACTTGAAATCTTGAATTCTGCAGAGACCGAGTGCTTATTTCTTACAATCACCAGGGAAAATTTCTTACTCTCCCAGCAGGGTGGAAATTTCAAGGTCTGAAGCTGTAATATTTGTAGTCTTTCAACATCATTAAAGGAGGGGGTTTCCGACAGTGCCACCATGATACAAAGCAAACCCTCCTGCCTGTGAATCCCAAATCAGTACTGTGGTGTCACGGTGGAGGGAATGTGGAGCTCTGGGAGAGGGGGAGAAGGTGACACATCACTAAACTGCTGGGTGGCAGACAATGGAACTTATAGCTGGCTTTTAATGTGGTTTTCTGCCATAGCATTTGCCTTGATTTGGTCCTTTTCTCAGTTTTTAAGGTGCCTGGCGGAGTTCAGGATAGGGTCTCCAGGTGGGAATCCCATGTCACTTAGAGAGCAGGGCCATTATTGTGCTGCAGTGACTGAGATGAGGCAGTGCTGGGGTGGAGCCCAGCTCCATCCTGTCCATGTCTGCCCTGGGCACTGCATGGTGGGATGGGTGTTATTTGCTTGACCTGTGGCTGGGTCTGCATTAAAAGCAGGTTTTATTCATTATTATTATTGAGGAAGTGTGAGGAGGTATAGAGGAAGACAATTCATAGCATCCAAGAGTGGTTGGGGTTGGAAAGGACCTTAAATATCATCTTGTTCCACACCTGCTCCATGGGCAGGGCACCTTCCCTAGACCAGGGTGCTCCAAGCCCTGTCCAGCCTGGCCCTGAGCACTTCCTGGGAGGAGGCAGCCACAGCTTCTCTGTGCTAGGGCCTCCCCACCCTCACAGGGAAAAATTCCCTCCTAACAGCTAATCTAAATCTCTGCTCTCACAGCTTAAAGCTGTTCACCTTTGTCCTATCGCTATCTGCTCCCACTTGCTTCACGGCGTTAAAAAACTCACCGGGAGAAATATCTGGCTTTTTCTGAGCTCAGAGGGCTTCCTGCTCCTTGTTTTGGGTGGGAGGAGACCCAAGTGATGGGAAAGGTGGCCCTGAGGATGCCAACAGCAGCGTGAATCCCCCGGGAGCCCAGCAAGGGCTCTGTGCAGGGCAGAGGAGCAGAGGTGCCCTTTGCCCACTGGCCCAGGTGGAAGTGGACTTTGGAAGTGGCACCAGGGAGCAGAGGAAGGGCCCCGGCGGCCTCTGAGCAGGTGTGTGCGGCTGCTGCGGGGGGAGGATGATGGAGGGAGCCCCTGGGCAAAAAATGGGGGGGTCTTGGTGGGACTGAAATGATGGGTGCCTGGATGTTCGTGCCTGGGGGCTGTTTGGGGCAAGGGTTTGCCTGGGTGGGGAAAGGGCACAAACCTCTGTCAAACCTGTCTTCCGGTGCTGAAATTGCCCCCAATGGCATTAAACTCTGAGTGGGAGGAGTGAGGAGGGGGTCAGACAGCACCTGGCCATCTCCCTGCACTGGGGAGGCTGGCATTGGGGGGCATTTTGGGTCCTGATGATCCAAGAGGAGCCGTGGGCGCTTGGAGGTGACATCCCCCTGGCAGCTGGGCTTGAACCTGCCCTGGACCCTCAGGATTTCCTCTCCTGCATGGGACTGTTAGAATTAAACCTGGTGTCTGCCTGGGATTTCTGCTGGAGCTGAAAGGCAGGAGGAAATCCCTGTTTTCACCCATCCCACAGCTCACAAGAACAAACCCCCATTTCCCCCTATTTGCTAATTTCTTTGAGCAAAAATTCCTTGTCCTGCTCATAGCTTTGCCAGCATCCTTTCCCCTACTGCCTATAAAATGGGGTTTCACTGCTGTGTCACAGAGGTGAGGGGGATTTCTCACCCTCTCAGAATCTGAGGGGGCTGTGAGTGGTGGTGCTTTGCCCCTGGGAGTGCAGGAGGATCCAACTTGGGTCTAATGGGGCTTTATGAGGGAGAGAGAGACAAATTTTACAGCAGGACCTGGAACAATAGGACAAGGGGTGGTGGATTTAAACAGAAAGAGGAGAGATTTAGATTAGCTATCAGAAAGAAATTATTTCCTGTGAGGGTGGTGAGACCCTGGAACAGGGTGCCAAGAGAAATTCCTCGTCTCTGGAAGTGTTCAGCACCAGGCTGGATGGGGCTTGGAGCAACCTGGTTTAGTGGAAAATGTCCACTTTAAGGTCCCTTCCAACCCAAACCACTCCGAGATTCTTGTTCAGGGAAGAGCTCGAAGTTTGTTGCTTTCAAGGTAGACCACTTCATCCCGGTGTTTTAAGGGGACCTTCAAGTTAAGAAAGATGTGGAGATGGCTTTTCCGTGTGTGGGAGCATTTTGGAAAGAATCCAGCACATTCCCAGAAAGCAGAGAGTAGCTGGCAACAAGCTTCACAGGGGGCTTTGAGGGGGTTGAAAAGCTGCTGATGACTTCTCATTTGCAGGTCACTAAGCTCTTCGGGGCTTAAGCTCCCCAAAGGAGGGGAGAGCATCCTGCAGAGAGGATTCTGCTGGCACACCTGCGATGGAGCCCTGGGTCCCTGTCCAGCCAGCCCAGCCCCGGGAAAGGCCGGCATCCCGCTCATCGTGGGCAGAGGGGCACCACAGTGCCCCGGCCCCGCTCCGGCGGCAGCTCCTGCGCCCGGGGCACGCTCCTCGCCCCGGCTCCTGGGATGGAAGCCACCTCCCTGGCCACCCCCAGGACCAGGGCCACCCTCCCCGGACAGAGCCCCGCCGGCCGGCTTCCCGTGCAGAGCCCTACGACAGCGGCTACCCCAGGTGAGCACTGCCCCTCTGCCTGGAAACATCCTCACCATGAAACCTCCTCACCTGAGAGCTGCCAAATCACTGCTACAGCTCCTGCTCACCGTGAGAGCTGCCCAAATCACTGCTACAGCTCCTGCCCACCGTGAGAGCTGCCAAATCACTGCCCAAATCACTGCTACAGCTCCTGCCCACCATCAGAGCTGCCCAAATCACTGCTACATCTCCTCCTCACCTGAGAGCTGCCAAATCACTGCTACAGCTCCTGCCCAAATCACTGCTACAGCTCCTGCCCAAATCACTGCTACAGCTCCTGCCCAAATCACTGCTACAGCTCCTGCTCACCGTGAGAGCTGCCCAAATCACTGCTACAGCTCCTGCCCAAATCACTGCTACAGCTCCTGCCCACCATCAGAGCTGCCCAAATCACTGCTACAGCTCCTGCCCACCGTGAGAGCTGCCCAAATCACTG